TTTAAGTTTGTGGGACATATAGTCTCTGTCTCAACTACTCAACTCTGCCATTGCAGCCTGAACGCAGCTGTAGACAAACTGTAAATGAATGGGCATGGGCTTTGTTACAGTAAAACTTTATTTACAAAAACAGGCAGCTGGTCTTTGGTCTGTAGTTTGCCAGTCCCTGACCTAGAATATCAATCATCTTGGTAAATGTTCTGTGTGCTCTTGAAGAGAACATGTATTCTACTCTTGTTGGTTGGAGTGTTCCATAAATGTCAATTAAGTTAAGGTGGTTGATAGTGATAATTTTCTGTCTGCTTGTTCCATCAGTTAATGAGAATGATGTTGGTATTTTCAACTATAGTTGTGGATTTATTTTCCTTACAGTTCTATCAGTTTTTGCTTCATGTTGAAGTTCTGTTATTAGTTACATAAATGTTTAGGATTGTTACATACTCTTGATGAAATGACCCAGTTTGTCATTACAAAATAACTCTCTTTCTCCCTTGTAGGATTAATTGCTCTGAAATCTACTTTCTCCTATGTTAATGTAGCCAGTCCAGCTTTCTTTGTTTAGTGCTAGTGCGGTATAGCTTTTTTATCCTTCTTTCTATTTTAAACCTATCTTGTGTCTTTATATTTTAAATGGGTTTCTTGTAGACAGCATGTAGTTGAATCTTTTTTTTTTTTATCCAATCTGACAGTCTATGACTTTTAATTGGAGTGCTTAGGTCATTTACATTTAATGTGATTATTAACATGTTTGGGTTTTAATCTGTTATATTGCTATTTGTTTTCTGTCTGTCCCATTTGTTCTGTGTTCCATTTTCCTCTTTTTCTGCCTTCTTTTGGATTGAGTGATATTTTTATGATTCTCTTACCTGTTTCATTGGCTTATTAGCTATACCTCTGTGTGTTATTTAAGTAGTTGCAGTAGGGTTTATAGTACACATCTTTAACTTATCACAGTCTATCTTCAAGTGTGATTATACTGTTAAAATATAGTAAAAGAATGTATGACAGTATTCTTCTATTTCTCCCCTCCCCACCTTTGTGCTATTGTTGTATATTTTCCTTCTACCTATGTTATAAATCCCATGATATGTTTTTATAAATAGTTGATTATCTTTTAAACAGAACTAAATTAGAACAAAAATATCTTTTCTTTTCGCATATAGTTATCATTTCCGGTGTTCTTCATTCCTTTGTTGAGTCCCAGGTTTCCATCTGGTATGATTTTCCTTCTGCTCAGGGACTTCTTTAACATTTCTTCAGGTTTAGATCTGAATTCTTCCATCTTTTGTGTGTCTTCCAGAGTCTTTATTTCATCTTTATTTTTGAAAGATATTTTTCCTAAGTAAGGAATTTTAGGTTGACAGTTTTTTTCCTTCACTGACTTAAAGATGTTGCCCCACTTTAAAAATAATAACTATAGTAATTACCATAACCTTAAAAAAAACTTTCATTCTTTTATTTTTCTTACTACAAATGTTCATTGTAGATAGTATGAAAATCTCAGATAGTTAAAAAAGAACAAAATTTAAATTACCTTTATTCCCACTGCAAATGTTTAATCACTGTTTGCATGTGTCTTCATCTTTATTCCATGAAAATTTAGTTTTTTAAAGTAAAATTTGGAGGGGGTTCCCTGGTGCTCTAGTGGCTAGGATTCCTCATTTTGACTGCCGTGGCCCAGTTCAATCCCTGGTCAGGGAACTGAGATACCGCAAGCTGCATGGTGTGGGCAGATAAACTTAATTGTTAACATTTTTCCATGTCATTATAAATTCTTAACAATCCTGTTTTCATATTTAATATAGATCTTTTTTAAAGCTCTAATACAGTTCCAACTTGCATTATTTAAGTTACTTGGCACCTAGACATGCGTGCAAAAACTACAGTTTGATTTCGCAGACTTTTAGATGATATTTTGGAAAGCCTTTGAGTCTTCAGGGACATAAAATTTACCAATAGGGCACAGTAGTTGGCGGTAACAAGACATAAGAAATGCCTAAAAGTGAACTGATAGCTTTTTTTTTCCTCTACTGACTGATATTCAGGGATGTGCTTCTTATGTTGTTACCAACAATGCTAAAACAATTTGACACTTAGATAATTTTGCATGCTTGCAGCCATATCTGTTGGATAAATTCTCAGTTGTAGGACTGCTGAGGCAAAGGAGATATCCATATATGTGAGTGTATATACATACATATAATTCTTACAATTGTTGTCAACTTTCTCTCAGTAGAGCTTATACCAATTTCTCCTTCCCACAAGCAGTGTGTGACAATCTGGTTCCCCATATCTTTGCCAAGATTATCAAACTTTACGATTACTACAGTCTGATAGGTGAAAAAATGAACTGAGAGGTTTTGTTTTCAATATCTTCTATTATTTTCTTTTTCTCTCCTGATTTATTTCTTCAGTTGCTCTTGTTAAGTAGTCCTGTCCCCTTACTTGCTTCACCTTTAAATAATTACAAAAAATTCATAGTTCATTAAATAGTTAACTTTAGCAGCTTTCACAGTTTAGATCCACTGTGTCATATGTGAATTTATAAAAAGATGTACATGATAATGAATCAGACTTACCAAAATAAAACATAACCAGGTCTGTTGTTTTTTAAGCTCTTTAAAATGTTGAAATAGGTAGAAGAATGAGTAGTTGGCCCCTTTCACAACAATAGTATGAATATTTGCCTTGTTAAAGTTCATTAAAGTTTAAGGGACCACTAAGAAAGGGCCTAGGCAACATTTTAATGCTTCACAATCTTAACAACTCAATTTTATCATTGTGTGTAGAGTACACAGCCCTAGAATGTGTGCATTAGCCTGCCTATGTCAGCAGGCAGTGCTGATAGGGTGTGGCAAAAAACCCCAAAAATGGCTTTCCTGTGTTCAAGGCAGTGTTTGAACGAGGTTTGTTGTGACATTTTTTGATGTTTATCATACTTGATATATTCACCTCCACTTGTGTATTAACTTTTATCAGGATGGTCTGGGTAATGGAAAGTCAGAGAACTTAAGTTCAGTTGCAGTTGTTTTTCTCCAAGAACCTAATTTTACTACTCTTAGTGACCTGTGTAACTCCATTCCTCCTTTCTAAAGCAGTGCCCTAGTGTTGGCAGTAGTATAAATGTCATTTGTAGACTCATGTAGTAAATATATGTGACAGTGCCATTTTCTGCCTGTGGTCCTTTGGCTTCTGCTTTCAGCTGTGGAACAGAACATTTCAAATGAATTTCCAGTGATCTCTTTTCAGGTCCATACTGCTAGAAAGTAGAATACAGTCCTCCAAAATAGGACAATTCCAAGTTTAGCATTTCCGTCTTCTCTTGAACATTGCTGGCTGTTGGTTTCCATTGCTTTGGTTCACAGTCCCGCACAGGCCTTTGAACACGTTTGTTTGGTGGTATACTGCTCTCTTCTGTTCGTGCTCTTGGATCGTCGTGGGTCCGATTAGTCAGTAGGTTTGTTAGCTGATTGCACTGAGCAGCATTTCTCTGCAGGGTTGTCATGTGGCCCGGTGTGTAAGTACTGCGAATCCTCATTTTGTGTGTTTGGGGATTTAGGACACCCAAGAGATTTATAGCATTATCACAAGTAAATAGAACAATAATTACACTCAGTCTGCTTCATGCATGATTTAGTTTACCGTCATGTCATAACTAAGTTTAGGGTGCAAAAAATGTTCTAAAATTGGGTGAACTGCTGCTTTTCTTTTTATTTGTAGTTTATTTTTTGCTTATCTTTAAGAAAGCGTGCAAGATTTTCATTGCCCTCGTGACTCGCCTGAGCTGCAGTCATTTTTCCACCTAAGTCTGCTGTGTCCGCCCAGGGATTTCTCAGTCCCGGCATCTCACTCACACATTCCTTTTCTCGTTGGAGAGCCAGCAGATGAGGGAGCAGTGTCCCTGCGTACCTGTTTGGTAGAACATCTCAGGGGAACAGGGGTGTGTCTCTTCAGAGAGGCACACATTTACAGCTCCTTCTCTCTTCAGTAGGAAAATAAAGAGGTTCTGTTTCATTGAAAATAACTGCCTTTTTTCTTCTCTCTGAATCTAATAAAGTTTGTTTGGGAAGGTTCCTGTATTATTCCAGGAGAGTATCCTGAGGTGACTGTAAGATTATTAAAATGTTTGATAATTTTTTTCTGTGAGGCATGGGCTTATTTTTGTCTTTCCTCTTCCAAGTTAATCTTTCAATGGAAAATTATTAATTCTCCCTAAATGAGAGTTCTGAAAAATAAAACCAGGTCCTATAATTGCTATTCCTATGCATACTAGTCAAAGTAGCTCTGCGCTGAAGACAGATAGATTGATGGAAAGAATTGCTCCCAGGAGCCAAGAATAGAGCTTTGCGTTAAACAGGTGATTTTTTTCCGTCACATATTAACACTAAGTAATTATTGAAATAACAGTTCCCTGCTTACTGTGTTCAGGGGTAACAAAAGATGGTGAGAACTCTTTCTACACACACTGGATGCACTTTTCATACCATAGCAGAAGTGCAGGTCGGGAACGGAACCGTGGTATGTTTGACTCTTGTGTGCTGACATCGTGAGCTCTGGGCTCCCAGGGCTGGTTGCCGTGAGAAGCTGAGGTCTCTTCTTTGAGCCAGATCATATACATCCCATAGATCCTGTTGAACATTTTCTCAGGCCTGGAAAACAGAATCAGGAATTCCCCACGTGGTCCGGAATGGCGGTGGGTGTTGGGGAGGAGGTGCAGAAGGCTGAGTCTCCAGATAAGAAAAGGATCTACTTCTGAATATTCATAATTTTTTCCTAGGATTACAGGTCGCTGCTTTGACTTTTATGCTAAAGACCCAAATGTCATTTAAAGAATTTAGTCTGCAATCCGAAAAATGTCAAATGACTTTGATTAGGGTCCCAGACATCTATATTCTACCCCCAAATTGATATTATGTTTTGGACAGAAGGTTGGCTCAGGGATGAATGTGATTTACACCCAGTCATGCCTTTCTCTTGAGCATATGCTTTGTGTTTTTCAGTTCTTCAGTGCCGTACTCTGCAGCCAAAACACCTCACCCGATGTTGACCCCAGCGTCTGCTCACCAAGCTAAGCAGGTAACGTGCTGCTTTGGGCTTTGCTAACGTGACCTGCAGTGACCGTCTTTGTAACTGAAGATAGTGCTGTACTAGGTCCTCATGTTGTTTAAAGGAACTGTAAGTCTGACAAAGGCCTGTGATCCTTTCCCCACAGTTTATGCCAGTCTTGACCTGGTAGGTCAGTTAGGACCTGATACTGTCTTTGTAGGCCATGTGACATCCTGCACCTCGTAATCTTGGGTCATAATTCTATATTTGTATATGGGGTATCTGTATGGAGTTGAAATTTACTTTCATTTAACATTGTCTTAGTTAACCCATACAACAACCATATAGACAAGACAGGTGTTCAGCTATGTTTCACTAATGAAGAAGCCGGGGCTCAGGTGACTAACGCAGGCTTCCACGGTTTTTATTAAATGATGGAATCAGAGCTGGAACCCAAGTCTTCCAACTTCTTCCTGTCCACTGCTTTGTTCGTTGTACCTTCCCGTGTCAGCATCCAGGGGATAGGTTCTCTTGCTTTCTCTTGCAATCCCTGTTTTTCAGACCTTGCATCTTCAGTGATGTGTGTTATGTCTACTTTCAGGCTGTTGCCTGATAAACATTGTCTCTTACAAAGATAGGTTATATTATAAACAGTTACGCAATCCAGAAGAAAATCATAGGAGATGGTGAAAGGTAGACCAAGCTCTCTTGGAGACTTTCCCTAAGAAACCTGGTTGCTCTGCTACTCATCTCTGTCTCTAGAAATAATGGTAGATTGTGTTTGAGATTGAACATCAGAACTTGCCTATTGTGAGTTCTCAGATGTGGCTGTCTACTCCTTAGCTTGCCGTGACTTAACATGACACTTAAGCGGTTAGCATTTGGTCTTTCTTCTGGAGGTTTCCATGTTCACCTTGGAGGACACATGGTAAGGCACAAATCCTCTTGCCTTGCCAAGAGGAAAGGAACATTGACTGGAGGTGGATAAGTTGAACAGTTTTGCTTTCTAACCTTATTATAAGTTTTGTTGAGAGCCAGGACCTATTTCATTCATTAACTTCTTCCTTCATTTGTGTATCAAATATCCCAGTGCCTTTTATGTGCCAAGTCTTGTGTTAGGCACTGAGGAAATAGCCACCAGCTAAACAGGCCTGACTCTGTTTTCTTGGTGCTTGTGGAATATTCCCATCTCTGATACGATCTTACATGTGGTAAGCATTTAAAAATACTGACTTAAATTGAAACGGAAAAAACAAAATTAAACTAAATCAAAGTGTTTGTGCTTGCTTATTTTAAATTATGTTATCATTTTACATGTTCCTTTATTCCAAAGGCTCGTTTGCGGTTTCACATAAATGTCTTGCTCCTGTTATAGGGATCTCTGATAAACGCCTTAAAGCCGTCTGGGCCCACACCAGCGTCCAGTCAATTGTCATCTGGTGATAAAGCTTCAGGTAAGTTTGCCCTTTTGTTTTAGTGAAAATAAAGGTGAAAGATATGCTCCACAGTAGAGTTTATTGTTGTGGATCACAGAGGCAGCTTGGTGTGAAATCAAGTACAGTAAAGACATATTTGAAAGGCCTCAGTTGATGTAGAATATCCAGGAAATTAGTGAGCCCTTCAGCAGCTCTGCAGACTTCTGAAATATGAGAGCAATAGGAGAAAGCCTGCCTTTAAATGTTTTTCCTAAAAAGGAGCACCTGCCTTGCTGGATAATCAAAGTTTAGAGAGGAGTGGATCAGAGCACTGAACTCTACTTCTTCTACTACAAAGGAAAGAAAAACTCTCTGGGTTTACGAGGACAGTTCAAAAGCTGGTAAAACACAGAAAGTAAAATGGATCTGTTACAATATAAGACCTCAGAGTAGATCAAATTCAGTATTAAAAGGCTGTGGCTTCACGTGCTTCCAGCAGTCACTCAGGCGTAATTACTCTTAACCGAAATTAGTTTTTACAGTCACCATAAAGTGCTCTGACCAGGCATCCACGCCGCCCTAGCCCACTTGACATAGAAGTGTGCTTACACGTAGTGCCTAGTTTAATGTGGGCTCTTCCTCAGCAGCCCCTTTTGTTGACCCTGTGTTAGAGTCCGCTTCATTTGACATGTGTTACTTTCTGCTACAGCCCAGAAAATGCTAGACTGTGCTGCCCGCGGTCCAGCGTTCTCACCATGCTCTGGACTCTAGCTTTTATTCTGATTCATGCTCTCCAGTGGGTCTTCAAGCTAGTACATTCTGTTCGAGATGCTGAACTTCACACTTTAGCAGCCTGCTTTCCGTAATCTCTACACAATCATACCATCATCCCAACTTCTCTGTAGTCAAATCTTTCTCATTGGATATTGGGTTTATCTTCAGAAGTATTCCTTGCACTCAGAAGAAAACCATTATTGTGTAAGCCCAAGTTGTATTCTAGAATTCGGATTAATGGAGGAGCACAGTTTTTATCATATAAGTCTTCCATGAGAAGGTGTATAGCACTTCTTAACTAGCAGCTAAAACTTTATATTAGAAGGGAAATTTCAGTGGAATTTGTCGAAGACTTTTGAATCATTTAGGATTCAAATTAAGAAATTTGTTTCCATTTCTAGCTAATATTTTAGAAAAAATTTTTGAAAGATTATGTATCTTAACCCCTTTCAAGGATTTTATTGGAGAGTTTTTTGTCACTCCTGAAGTTAAGAATCAAGGACATCTAAGGGGCTTTGTTTTGTGCATGTCTAGGCAGTTAGCATGACTTGCAAAGAGATTTCTAGGATTCACCATTCAGTGATGATTGTGAAATATTCTCTGTCCTTGCTGTGTGTTTCCTTCTGTCCTCACTTTCTGGAAACAGACTTTTCTTAAGTAGGAAAATTTCCCTGAAAAGTACTATTTAAGAGTTTGCAAAAACTTTCTTTAAAAAAAAAATGCATTTCTGAAACTTCTGTAGAATAATTCCCTTATTACTTAATAATGGAAATACCTTCATTGTTTTACTGATTATAGAACTATTACAAGTCCACAAAAAGTCTATGGTGTAGAGCTATATAATGTAGAAAACGAAAGCTGCCCTATAAGTTCCCTGTTCCAGAGATAACAGCGCTCAGCGATTTGATGTGTATCTCTTGGGGTTTGATGTGTATTGTTCTTTTAAACAAAAATAGTCATATCCTGTATATATTGATATGTAATCTGTTTCCCCGCCCCCCCTAAAGTAAATATCGTGTTCATCTTTCCAGATCTGATACAACTCTACCTCACTCATTTTAATGGTAGCCTAAGACTTCACTGTGTAGTTGTACCCTGTTAAGTTTTAATAGTACTCTGCAGATAGTTTAGATTGTTTTTAACTTTTCAAGATTATAAGTCAGGCTGCCTTGGACAGCCTTGTACACATCACATTGTATTATAGTGGTTTGTTAGATAATTTTACAAATATTTATCCCATACTTACTTAAAGGGAGGTGCATTTTCTTATTGTTTGGTTTGGTTTGATTTGGGCTTTTTTTTATTTTATTTTTTTTGCGGTATGCGGGCCTTTCACTGTTGTGGCCTCTCCCGTTGCGGAGCACAGGCTCCGGACGCGCAGGCTCAGTGGCCATGGCTCACGGGCCCAGCCGCTCCGCGGCATGTGGGATCTTCCAGGACTGGGGCACAAACCCGTGTCCCCTGCATCGGCAGGCGGACTCTCAATCACTGCGCCACCAGGGAATCCCTGATTTGGGCTTTTTAAATGTAATTCCCCCATTCCCGTCCTCCTTTTAAAAGTAGAGCGATAGGGGAAAGATTGTAGGTAATACCCCAGACTATTAATAAGTAGTTACAGTATATTGAATGTGGGAAGGATGATGGATTGCACTTTTAACTCTCTATACTTCTCTATATTACAGCAATCATATGTTACCTCTGTAATTAAAAAAAAAAGAACTATTATTTAAATACAAAAAGTCTATGGAAAATACAGAAATGCAGAGAGAAAGCAAATAGCCATGAAGTCACTACTCAGAGATATTAAGTTATCCTATTTCTCTTTGGAATTTTGTTTTTCCTTTGGTATATATTACTTTTCGGTAATTGTAAAAGCTACTTTTAAAGCCTTAAATTTGAACTGCACTCCAGCTATTTTGACCTCTTTCCTGCAAAGGGGCAAGTGTGGCATGTCCTGGTTTGGAATTGACAGTGACTGAGCCAGAGAGCAAGTTCAGAGACCTTGAGGCAGCATGACTTAGGCAGCGCTGCGGCCACCGACTTGTCATAGAAAGTGTGTGACCTGGGGCTGCGCTCTACACGGCACCACGCATTCGCTGCCACAGAGAATTAAACTAAAATGGTGACTCTAACTGGTTTTTTGTAACGTTCTCATTTTTTTCCATAATTTCAGGACCAGTGGCAACCAAGATAGAGACAGCTGTGACGTCTACCCCGTCTGTTGTTGGGCAGTTCAGCAAGTCTTTCTCATTTTCTCCGTCAGGGTCAGTAGTGAACTAAATTTTGTGACATCACCAGCAACCTTACAGATAGCTGTCCCAAATCCTACAATCTGTAGGTATACTTATGTGAAGCCAGAGTTCTTTTCACTGCAGTGATGCGTTTGGTAATAGTGACAGTAGTTTAGCGTCCTAATGTAAATGTGTTTCCCCTTTTTGATTCAAGTTTAGACATGTGTCATTACATATTGCCTATTTGTTCTGTTTTCTAGGATAAGCTCCATTTTCTTTGGATAGTGAGTCTGGTTGATCACGTTTATCACACTGAGGTGTCTTCATTCTGACACCGTCTGGGGGCTGGGTGAGAAGCTTGGATTGGCTTTGCTGCCTTGAGAGGTCACGTTATATGCAACTTCTGAGAGAGCAGGACAGTAGCCATTTGAAAATTTGGGTTTTATATAGATGTGGGGACATACATTTCTGTTTCATTTTTTAAAAAGTAATGATGGCTATACTTGTCAAGTTGAGTCATCTTTAAAAACAAAAGGGTCTTCTAACCCTCATTCCAAAGGGAGCTTTTATTAACCTTGGAAGGAGAGTGCCTTTTCTCTGTGCTATAAGCACTCATCTTGAAACCTGTGAGAGTCGCCAAAGCGTCCTTCCCCTTCAGGGGTGGAGTTAGGCTCTGTGTGGCTGAGATAAAAACCCATCCAAAGATTGTTTTTACTGTGAAGAGTTGCATGTTCAGTTCCATTAGAAAAGCCTCTTAAGCTCTTTCAGGTCATGCTTTTGTAACTGGAATCATATTGACCACAATCTCTTTTTCCTGACGTGAATTTGTTTCTTGAGCATCCTTCAACCTAACCACTTAAAAGAAAGGAGGTGGTTAGAATAGAATTTGAGGGGAGGAAATTATATATATTTTACTGTCAATCGTTATGTTTTCTACTTCCCAAAGGTAGTTTGGAGCAAATTTTAAAGAGTAGGTCAGTGCCAGGGGTTACTGCATCTTTTTTTTTCCTTAATAAATTTATTTATTTTATTTATTTAATTTTGGCTGCGTTGGGTCTTCATTGCTACGCGCGGGCTTTCTCTAGTTGCGGCGAGCAGGGGCTAATCTTTGTTGCGGTGTGCGGGCTTCTCACAGCGGTGGCTTCTCATTGCGGAGCACGGGCTCTAGGCACGCGGTCTTCAGTAGTTGTGGCTCACGGGCTCAGTAGTAGTGGCTCACGGCTCTAGAGCACAGGCTGCAGGCTCAGTAGTTGTGGCACATGGGCTTAGTTGCTCCGCGGCATGTGGGATCTTCCCGGACCAGGGCTCGAACCCAAGTCACCTGAATTGACAGGCAGATTCTTAACCACTGCACCACCAGGGAAGCCCTGGAGTTACTGCATCTTTTAATCTTTACTTCTATGAACTGATAGTCTTCTTGCCATTTTTAAAATAACCTGAAAAGGTTTGGGTCATTGGGTCAGTGGCTTACCGTTATTAGATAAAATTTCTTCACCAAGTTTGAGAAAAAGAAAGAGAATTGTTTTCTTTTTTGATGTGATGAAATGTTTAACACATCCTCTTAGGTGGTCTTAGTCCATTTGACGAAGCCAATGATGGGTTAAAAAGAAAACTCTAAGTCCAGTCCTTACCATTTCTTACCATATTTGGTATGCTTGGTCCCTTACATTTTAAAGCTGTAGAGTTTTAAATTTGCTATTTGAACTTTTCTCACAGTGAATAGTCTGTTCTGGCTCAGCTCGTGCTGCGTTTTCTTCTTTGGCCATGGTGTCTTCATTCATGGTGTAAAGAAAATGTACAGAAAGAGACGACGTGATGACAAGAGTCAGAAAAGCTTTTGAGGGCCGTTTCCTGGTGGTCTAGTGGTTAGGATTCGGCGCTTTCACTGCCAACGGCCCGGCTTCAGTCCCTGGTTGGGGAACTGAGATCCCGCAAGCCGCGAGGTGTGGCCAAAATTTTAAAAAAAGAAAAGAAAAGCTTTTGAACCAAATTTCCCAGCCCAGAACTAAGCATTCTGTCAGAACGGCAGAGACAGTGGCTCCTGTTCCGTGCTGTCCGTCACCTCCCTGTGGCGTGCACTGTCCTGACGCGCTCTTTGGTCTCGGTCTGGGTCATAGAGGTCCTCCAGCCTGTCTCGTCTTCCTCACTAGGTGGGCCATCTGCTCTGGCCACTCTCCCCACAGAAACATTCCCAGTGCATTTCTCCTACTCCTTTGCTTTCCTTGGAATAGGTCCCCACCCCAGCCTCCCCCGTGGAAAGCCCAGCTGTTCCTCCAAGGTCTTCTCACCTGCTTCTCCCTTCTTACCTCACCCACAAATTGTCTCTCCCCGCTTAGAGAGCTTGCGATGGCTCTGCTGCTTCAGAGATAATGTGCTTTCACTTTGTTGACGTTTATCTTCTAGATTGTAAGTCCCTCGAGAACAGTTTGTGTGAATGAATTATAAAATGTACTTTAAAAGGGCAATGTTGTGCCTTGGGTTTGTTCATTTTTAGCTTCTTTTCTTCCCCTCCCTAGGACTGGCTTTAATTTTGGGATAGTCACACCAACACCGTCTTCTAATTTCACGGCCACACAAGGTACAGTCTCTGCATGGCATAGCATTACTTTTGTGTTTCCCCCTAAACAAGTGCAGGTTTTGGGGGTCAGATGTGTTGACATTTTGCTTGCTGCTGCGTCTTGCCTAAAGTGTCTGCAATTAACCTGGTGTTGATATTATGCATTAAAAATAGGCTAGATTTTCAAAACTGGGGAAGGACTTCTACTCTTCATAATGAAGTACAAGGAGAGGATTTGCTTCTAGAAAAGCAAGGCTGTGCTTTAAATGTGAATGTTTACATGTGAATTATTTTTTTCCATCTTTTTCCTATGTCATTTAAAATTGTATCAATTCATAGGATGAGATAGACTTAGTACTATAGATATCAAAGACTGAACTCATCTTTTTTCCTTGATAACCTAGCAGAAAACACACTGGTCTCATGCATGTTGTTGCACATCTACCAACCAGCATGTTTTTAATGTTTAAAAGAATTTGAAGACCTGTAAGGAAACCAGATGTACTTTTTAAGTGCCTTCCAGTTCTCAGTTTAAGTAATTAAGCTTACTTTTCTTTTATTTTAAAAAGAGAACTTTTATGATAAAAGTGATTGTTATATTTTATTATAAAAGTGATGTGTTCTGGAATCACACATTGTACCCTTAACCATTGCCATTCGGTTATATTTCCTTCTGGGGTTTTTGCTTCCACTCGTATTTCATTTAACACAATCTCTTGTGAGTTCTCCAGTATTATTGAAAACCTTGTGTAAATGTCATTTTTGATGGCCACATAATTTCTGTCTTGTGGATATGCCATAATTTATTTAACTATTCACCTTTTGGACATTTAGGCTCTTTCTAGATTTTCCCTATGATAAATAAGACAATGACCATTTTTCATCTCTTCATTCAACACATATTTTTATGAGTGCTTTCTGTGTGTCAACCCAAGTGGTAGAAGTTTTTTTTAGTAAAAAAGGGATCTCCTAAAACCTCCTGGAGGGAGATTAGGGAGCTGAAAGCATAGCAGACTTCCTAAACCTGAGCTGTGTGTGGCACTGAAAGGGTTGTTGATCTCATTCCTTTCTCTCTGGAGCAGTGATTCTTAAACTGTTCTGCCCACTTAGATGTGGCTGAATACCCTTGAGGCCCACCCTCTCCCCAGTCTCACTTTCTAGAAGAAAAACAACTCAATGATATAAAAAGATTGGAGAGGAACAGAATAATTTCAAAAATCCTAAATGAAATAAATTAGTACTAAAACACAATAGTAATTCCATAAACATTTTCACTAATACAAGAATAGACAACGATCCAAAATCATAAACAGCTCAGCACAACACCAGTGATACAAAGAGGGGTTTCTGGAAATTACCTGTATATAGTAGGGGCTTTGCAGTGTTCTCAGGAGTTTGTGATAGACAGACTTTTTTTTTTTTTTTTCGCGGTACGCGGGCCTCTCACTGTTGTGGCCTCTCCCGCTGCGGAGCACAGGCTCCGGACCGCGCAGGCTCAGCGGCCATGGCTCACAGGCCTAGCCGCTCCGCGGCATGTGGGATCTTCCCGGACCAGGGCACGAACCCGTGTCCCCTGCATCGGCAGGCGGACTCTCAACCACTGCACCACCAGGGAAGCCCCTAGACAGACTTTTTAAAAGAGCATGGAGTTAGAAACATCAACCAGCACTTTCGATAGACCAATTTCAGTTTGTAAGTATCAAATTAGTCTTTATTGATCAGTTTTTTGACCAGGCCTTGTGAATGCTTTACCTGTATTTCATTTAATCTTCATGACAACTCTGTGAGGTACGTACTGTTATTAGCTCTCTCTTCCAAATGGAGAAATTGAAGCCCAGAGAAGTCAATTAACTTTTCCAGAGTTGCACAGCCAGCAAGTGGCAGAGCCCCCAGCCTCAGAGCCCACGTATGTCCTTGACCATCTGGCCACACTGCTGCCATGAAAGCACTTAGTGAGGAGAGCACTAGGAAGTAGCCCTTAATTATAGGTAAAAATGATTGCCTGTGGATTGACACTCTATCTGTCCATAAAACCAAAGGAGGAATTCCCTGGTGATCCAGTGGTTAGGACTCCGTGCTCTCACTGTCAAGGGCCTGGATTCAATCCCTGGTTGGGGAACTAAGATCCCACAAGCCGCATGGTGCGGCCAAAAAAAAAAAAAAGGATCAATTCCTGGTCTCTCAGGAGGTCCACATGCTAGTACTGTTGCCAGGAATGTTATTGCGGCGCACACACGGGGGAAATGTGGGAAGATGCCTTTTCTTTCTCTTTTGGGCCACTAGGTTAATTTCATGTACTCTAGATAGAGATGTATTTGTTATTATTTAATGGTCATAAAGAGAACATTCGTTCATCCCACCTCAGTGAGATGACTCAGAGCTAACGTTCCTGCGGAGAAGCATTTGTTCTGTCTGCTGCTGTCAGAACAAGCTGTCCCTGACAGTATCGAGGGAGGAGAGAGGCTTTGGCTTAGAAAAGTCAGTGAGACTGTGATAGGTCATATTTTGTGAAATCCAGTCCATTTCCTAATTTATTTTTCTTGCTAGTGGCAGCACCCCCCGGCAAAGAGTCAAACCAGCTGGACACATTCTCCTTTGGCGGGACAGGCAAACCTTTTTACGAGGCCATTCCTGAAAGCTCCCCTCCCTCGGGAATGACGACGTCAAGTAGCACGGGAGCTGCTGGTCCCTCTCCTGGGGAGTCTGCTCCATCCAGCGGCAGGCCTGTGGCACCTTCTGGAATTGCTCTTTCCACCCCCTCTGGCAAGGTGGAAGCTCCGCCGTCCAAGTTGGGAGAGCTTCTGTTTCCAAGTTCTCTGGCTGGAGAGACTCTAGGAAGTTTTTCAGGACTGCGGGTTGGCCAAGCAGATGATTCTACAAAGGCAGCCAGTAAGGCTTCATCCCCAGGCGGGACTGGTGCTAGTGCACAGCCCACCAAGACTTCGGCCGTCCCCTCCGGGTTTAGTTTCACCGGCCCCGTGGTGCTGGGGAAGCCCGTGGAGCCTCCCGTGACCTCCTCTGTGGCTGCCACCACAGTGACCCTGGCGGCTGCGGCCGGCCCCAGCCCCGGCAGTTCCTCAACTGGCGTCTTTGGCAGCCTGCCGCTCACCAGTGCGGGACCCTCCAGCGTAATCAGTTTTGCGGGGCTATCGCTAAGCGGTAGCAAGACCAGTTTTCCGTTCGGAGGCCAGCAGACAAGTAGTACAGCGCCGTCCTCTGCCGCTGCCGCTGCCACACCCCTTCCTACATCCCTCCCCGCCTTGTCGTTTGGCAGCCTCCTGAGTTCAGCATCTGCTCCCACCGTGCCCACGTCCTCCGCTAAAAGCACGGAAGCAGCCACGTCATCGGCTCTGCCTGAGAAGCCAGGTGGTAGTGAGGCCTTGGTGTCAACAGCCTCCCTCCTAGGGCAGCAGCCATCCGCCCAGCTTCCCCAAGCTCCTTCTCAAACGTCTGACTCTGTGAAGAAGGAGCCCGCTCTCGCCCAGCCTGCGGCCAGCAGCCCTGGTACAGCGGCGCCCAGTGCCACCGTCCTAGCGCCGTCCGCGGAGGCCACTCCGGCAGCCACCGGGGCCCCGGACGCCAAGACCGAACCGCCGTCCCCTGCCCCCACCCCGGCAGCGCCTGGGCAGATTGCCGTCGCAGCACCTGCCGTCCCAGGTGCCGGCCCCGTGGCCCCAGAAACATCCAGGCCTCCCGCCACCTCCAGCGCTGTTTCCGGTGATGCTCCAGGCCCAGCCACGGAGCCCGCAGTGTTTGGGGCGGTCACTTCGGGCTCGCCTGTCTTTACTCAGCCACCGGCCGCCAGCTCTAGCTCGGCTTTCAGCCAGCTCACCGGCCACACAGCCACCGCCCCCTCGGCGACCCCCATGTTTGGGCAGGTGGCCGCCAGCACTGCCCCGAGCCTGTTCGTACAGCAGGCGGGCGGCATCGCCAGCACGGCGGCTGCCGCGCCACAGGTCAGCGGCTCGGGGTTCGGCAGCCCAGCGTTTGGCACCTCCGCCCCGACGGTCTTTGGACAGACGAGCTTCGGGCAGGCCCCGGCCTTCGGGCAGCCGACCAGCAGCCCCGCGAGCGGCTTTTCCTTCAGTCAGCCCGGCTTCAGCTCCGTGCCGGCTTTTGGTCAGTCCGCGTCCCCCACCCCCGCGTCCACCAGCGGGAACGTGTTCGGTGCATCTTCAAGCGCCAGTAGCTCCAGCTCCTTCTCATTTGGACAGTCTTCTGCCAACACTGGAGGGGGGCTCTTTGGCCAGAGCAGCCCTCCTGCTTTCGGCCAGGGCCCTGGCTTTGGGCAGGGAAGCTCTGTGTTCGGTGGCACCTCAGCCACCACCACGACAGCGCCATCCTCTGGGTTTAGCTTTTGTCAAGCTTCAGGTAAGAATTTATGGAAGATTTTTACTTTGTTGTCCTCTGTATTATTTGAAACATTTGCAGCAAATCTGCATTAGTTTGGTGATTAAAAGAAAGGAAAGGAAAACAGAAGAGGCTCTGAAAAGTCCGGAAGGGAGCCTGGCCACTGGCAGTCTCGGGCATTTCTTTGGTCTAATCACTGCAGCTCCAGTTGTGCTTCTCAGCAAGTTCTCCACTCTCCTAGCCACCGGAGTGCCAGTTTCATGGGGGGAGAAAAACAGATGTAAAGTCATGGCAAATAACAAATGACTCATAAGTATGAAATTTTACATTTGCAAGGTCATTATGTCCAAACCTGTCAGGCCTCGAGGTGACTGATCTAATGTCATTTAGTGCCAGTACTGGAGCCAGGACTAGACTCCAGAGCTCCTCATCCTAGTCCTCTGCGCTGCCGATATTTCATATTTCCGCTGACACCACCTTGCTTTCTAGAAGGGCAAATAGTGACATTTGAGAAGTTGGATTATTTTTCTATTTTCAGTGTAATTCTTTTTTTTTTTGCGGTACGTGGGCCTCTCACTGTTGTGGCCTCTCCCGTAGCGGCCTCTCCTTTTGCGGAGCACAGGCTCCGGACGCACAGGCTCAGCGGCCATGGCTCACAGGCCCAGCCGCTTCGCAGCATGTGGGATCCTCCTGGACCGGGGCACAAACCCGTGTCCCCTTCATCGGCAGTCGGACTCTCAACCACTGCACCACCAGGGAAGCCCCAGTGTAATTCTTTTAAAAAAACAAATCTTTAAATTTTACTATTTTTGAAAGTAAAATGTAATCCTCACTATTGCATGTCCAATCTTAGCAGCTGCTTTTGCTCCTAAAACCAGTAGACAGGACAACTCAAGTATCTTTTCTAATTTTCCTTTCTCCATGGTTATCTTATGAAAGGCATTTCTTCAGCCATCAGGCTCAGGGGATGGGGGGCGGAATCAAAGATTAATGATTTGGTGGACAGGATTACAAGTAACTGCGCGTTCATTCCTTTGGTGAAAATTTATTGGAAACTGTTTCATAACTTATTAGAAAGGAAGTCATTTCCTTCCTGCCTTCAACAAATGTTTGTGAAGCTCCCACTATGTTCCACTACAAGAACACAGTGGTGCACGACAGTTTGGGGATCCACCTGATGCCCTGTGAAGAGGCTGCTTGGCCTGTTTGAGTGACGGGAGGAGATGTGATAAGTTGGTCTAGAGAACGGGCAGGGAAGAGGCCTTGTGGGTCTTAAAAGAGAGTAGGATAGTTAACGCTGTCGCTAGTGCATCTTTTTGTTCTGCAGTCAAAACTTGAGAATCCTCGTTCACAAGTATAATCAAAACTATTTCAGTACAACTGAGAACCTCTGAAAAACCCTTCTTTCCTACAGGAGCTAGGTGGAAAGATAACCTGAGCGGCCTCCTCCAGCGCTGGTTGAGGAACTGAGCCTTGCCTGAGCTCCCCTGCCTAGACCAGTAGCAGAAATGAGCGTGGAACTCTTGTCCTCCAGCTCCTCATCTGGGGCTCTTTTGTTATAAAATATAGTTCTTCCTGATTCTCCCAGGCCCTGTTAACTCAGCACCTCAACCACATTATGCCACCTAGAAGAAAGATAAACTACCCTGAAAGAATCTGGTATTTGAGATTAGAGGTAACCAGGGAGTAGGAGTATTCATGGTTTTAAGTCAGACACTGGAAGCACTTCTCTTGGCAGCTCTAAGTCTAGGGGAGCTACGCTGAGAGACCTCACCCGCCTGGGGTTTGGTAGGAGACAAGGATTCAGTCCTTGGGACTTTGGGACTTTTTTTTACTATTATAAAATTCTAGCAATGAAAAAAAGAGTTTCTTTCAATTATTTACTCATAATTGTCTCCATTTCCTAGGTAGGAAAACAGATTTTCTTCATGAGTTGACTTATTGTGAGGCACTTTAGCACACCTAAATGCCATTTAAAAAGTAAAAAACAAAACTTTGATATTATAGAAGGTTCATCCAAATTAAACTTTGGTTTTCTTTTTATTTTACAGGTTTTGGGTCTAGTAATACTGGTTCTTTGTTTGGTCAAGCAGCCAGTACTGGTGGAACAGTCTTTGGCCAGGTAAATATGGATGTTTGCCTCTATTCACGTCAACATGTATCAAACCCATTTGCGTCGTTCCTATAGGATACAATCAGTCATGTTCCCGTAGGATGTAACCGGTCCTGTAGGATGTAACCAGCCCCAACAAACAGCCCTGTTGTTCTCAAGCTCTGCCTTCTGTAGCTCCCTTGGGGATGCAGAAGTCTCAGCCTCTGATTTGAGAGAATCACTACAGTTTTAATCCTTGTGTGAAAGTCCTCTCAGGAAGCACTTTAAAGCACATTGCCTGATTTCCATCAATCTTCTGCCTGTTGTTAGGCCAGGGATTGGCAAACTATGGCCCATGGGTTAAATCTGCTCCTTGGCCTTTTTTTTTTTTTTTAAGGCCGTTGAGCTAAAAGTTTTTATTTGTTTAAGTCGTTGTTTAAACAAGATGAAGAAGGATATGCAACAGAAACTGTATGTGGCCCCTGTGCGAAGCAGTATATAGTCCAGGGACCTTTCGGTGACCTGAGCCGTTTCACTTTGTCTAGCTAGTGGTTATCTATGTGCTGGGTGTGGTTTTAAGTGCTGTACACGCACTGAGTCCTGGAATCATTAGTACTTGTATAAGGTAACGCTGTTATTATCCCCATTTGACAGATGAGGACACGGAGGGCCCAGAGGGGTTAAATTTACTGTTGTAAAAGCTAGCTGCTGCGTTTAGATCACAGTAACTTCATAAGGTACTCTGATATATTGGAAACGATTGAGACTTTCTAAAGGTGGGGTTGGTACTTGTCCAGTAGTTAAGAAAGTGGTAGCCATATTATGTTTCTTCCAAGTCTTCAGTAGGAGATTTTCTCTATCACCTTTTTCCTTAGAAGATGGGCCCTGCCCTAGTCAGTGATCCTTGACCGAGAAACAGAACTTCTGGTTTTCAAGTTCCCCACTGAAAACAGCTAAAAATGGCTACATAAAACGTACAAACCAGTTTCAAAAGCACTTATAAACTAATCAGGTATTTAACCAAACCAGATTAAAGGGAAAATGGGAACCTGTAGAAGTGAGTGGAGCACAGAAGCCAGTTCTGCCCTGAGAGCATGTACTAATCTGAGAGCACCTGAATTGCCTACGTTAACAACACCAAAAGGGCAAAGGGGCAGACATCATTCAACAAGACGTGTACAAAGTGGGAGGGCTAAAAGAGACCCTCCCCACGATAAGCTGTGACTCCAGATTCACCGGTCTCGGCCTGAGAATGTGGCTTGACCCGATCCGAGGATGGCGGTGTCTCCAGATGTCAGGCCACTCTGAAGAAAAGTAACTGTAGGCCTCAGATAATTTTTAAGGACACTGATTCCCACACGTAAATTCATCACAACAGGAAACAAGGAACTATGATCAAGAGCCAGAATAAACATGAGACACACATTTCCAAAGACTTCCTAGACTATAAAACAGCTGTGTTTTACGTGCCGTAAAGACATAAAAGACAAACTTGAAAATACCAGGTACGGGAAGATCCCACATGCGGCGGAGTAACTAAGCCTGTGTGCCACAACTACTGAGCCCGCACGCCTAGAGCTTGTGCTTCACAAGAGAAGCTACCGCAACGAGAAGCCCGTGCACCGCAACGAAGAGTAGCCCCCGCTCACCGCAGCTAGAAAAAGCCCCCGCGCGCAGCAACGAAGACCCAACACAGCCAAAGAAAAAAAAAGTTGAACATCATAAACAGTTACATGTCAAAATTCATTGAGCTCTGTACATAGAAAACTTAATAGAAAAACACAACAGAAAGAAAAAGGACAAGAGACGTCATAAAAAAGGGTAGTGTTGGTTACACAGCATTGTGGAATGTACTCAATGCCACTTAAAATCCTTGAAATGTTGCCCCTGACCTGGGTCGAGTGGCACCTAGTTGCTGGTGCCCGTCTCATATCAGCCGGGGACAAAGCAACTCCTTGTTTATCCCAGCTTGGCTTTTGGTTTGTGCCCATGCCTGGTTCATGCCCCAGACGCTTGGGGGGAAAAGCTTAAAATGGTAAGTTTCATGTATATTTTAGCACAATTGAGAAAAAGAGAGAAATAAGAAAACATTTTTTAAAAGGATAGCCAGAGGACCGCAACCACATTCAACTTCAGTAGTAACACAGAGTAAAACCACTAAGAGATGCACACCTGTAACGCAGCAGAAATTTAAAAGCCCAACAATACCAAATGTCAGCAGATACGCAGAGCCACAGAAACTCACGTACACTCTTAGCTGGGGCGTAGGTTGGCACGCCACCTTGGAAGATAGTCTGGTGTGATCTAGTAAAGCCCTGTGGTTCCACTCCTAGTTTGTTCTTTAGAGAAACTGATGCACCTGTGCGCCAGGGTACACTGTTACAATAACAGGACTAGAAGCAACCCAGACAGCTATGGCCATTCCACCGGGCAGATGAACTTATATTACTCTGTAGTAGAACGTTACTACATTGTGGAAATGAACAAATTAGAGCTACGTGCGTGACTTTCACAGGCATAAATTTTTTCTCTCTCTCGCAGGCGTAATTTGAGCAAAGAGATTTAAAGCTCACTGTGATAAACTCCATATTGGTTACTGCCCTGCACCTCATGTTCTTCCTTCACAGAAATTATATTTGCAATTGGAGGGGCTAGAAATTCAAATGAATTTTTTTTCTATCATGGCAGGGGCTTTATCTGTTATATTTGTTGCTGTATCCCCAGTGCTTAGGACTGTGGCTAGCACAGGATAAGCATTGTAAAAATGAATGAACTTTCAGGTAGTAGGGGTATTCTGAGAAGAATCTAAGGATACAGGTAGATTCTGGCCAGGATATAGAAGAACTTCATTTTCATCATAATACCAAGAAAAATCCAGATGGTGTGAAAATCACACTAACTCTGTGGATATTAGAATTATCTAGTGCTGTGTAACAAATTACCCCAAAACTCAGTAGCATTCTCCAGTGGTTGGCTTGGCTGTTAGTTCCAGCCTTAACTGGAACTCTTGGCTACAACATCTACATGTGGCTTCTCTGTATGGCCTGGGCTTCCTTACATCATGGTGGCTGGATTCCATGGAAGAATATTCCAAGAAAGAGAGGGAGCCAGGCAGAAGCTGTCCTCAGAAGTCACAGAGCATCATGTATACTGCATCTTCTTGTTCAAGGCAGTCACAAAGCCCCTCCCAGTTTCAAGGAGAGGGGAATAGACTTCACCTCTTGCTCTAGAAGAGCATTTAGGTCTAGAAATACTACTGTGACCATCTTTGGAAAATATAATCTGTCACAATGGGACCATCAAAACATGGCAGAAAGCCTTGTTGAGTTGATTTCCAGACGGGAGTTAATCGTAGGTGAGCCTGATGGTACAGCAGCTTTTGGGGGCAAATGTCAGGCCTGGGTTTAGGAAGTGGAAGAGAGGCCTTGCCAAAGGAAATTTACTGGCTGGAGAAGCCAGAGGAAGCTATTGGCAACAATGAGGGCAAACAAATGACCAATAAACACACGAAAAGATAATCAGTAGTATTATAAACATTAGGAAAATGAAAATCAAAACCATAATGAGATACCACTCCACAACCACTAGGAGGGCTATAATTTTTAAAAAAAAAACAAACAAAGAATAACAAGTATTGACAAAGGTTGGAGAGATTGGAACCCTCGTATATTGCTGGTTGGAATGGAAAATGGTACAGCCATTGTGGAAAACAGGTTCCTTGAAAAGCTAAACATAGAACTGTCATATGACCCAGCAGTAGAACTCAGACACTTGGTCACCATTGCTCATTGCAGCATTATTCACAGTGGCCAAAAGATGGAAACAACCCAGTGTTCATCAACAGAGGATTGGATAAACAAAAGGTGGTCCGTTCATACATAGGAATATTATTCAGCCTTCAAAAGGAGTAAGGTGGTGATTCATATTACACATGAATAAATCGTGAATACATTATGTTAAGTAAAATAAGCCAGATATAAAAGGACAAATATTGTATGATTCCACTTGTATGGAATATTTAGAGTAGGTAAATCCCTAGAGCCAGGAAGTAGATTAGAGCCTACCAGGAACTGGGGGGAGGAGGGACCAGGGAGTTCTTGTTTAATGGTTACAGAATTTCCGTTTTGGTGATGAAAAATTTTAGAAATGGTGGTAATTGTTGCACAACATTGTGAATATAATTAATGCCACTCAATTGTATACTAAAAGATGATTAAAAGGGCAAGATTTATGTCATACATATTTTACCACACGTTTTAAAACTTAAAGATGTAATATACCAAAACCATTGAATTTTATACTTTATAAATTTATTTATTTTTGGCTGCGTTGGGTCTTCGTTGCCACACGCGGGCTTTCTCTAGCTGCGGCGAGCAGGGGCCACTCTTCGTTGTGGTGCGTGGGCCTCTCATTGTGACGGCTTCTCTTGTTGAGGAGCACAGGCTTTAGGTGCGCGGGCTTCAGTAGTTGTGGCGTGTGGGCTTCAGTAGTTGTGGCTCGCGTACTCTAGAGCTGAGGCTCAGTAGTTGTGGCGCATGGGCTTAGTTGCTCCACGGCATGTGGGATCTTCCTGGACCAGGGCTCGAACCCGTGTCCCCTGCATTGGCAGGTAGATTCTTAACCACTGTGCCACCAGGGAAGTCCTGAATTTTATACTTTAAATCAGTGAGTTGTGTGGTATATGAATTATATCCCAGTAAAGCTGCTTTTAAAAAAACAACAACAACAACAAATTGGAGTCTGAAAGACTTGCAAGTTCAGTATCAAAATCCTCTATTCACCTCTCCCCCAATTTTGCTGAGAGAAAGAAAGTAAAGCAGAAAGAACTTGCAGTCTTGCAACCTCCTGTTCCCTGAAACTGTTGAATCCAAAGGTAGCACTCCAGCCTAACTGCCCTCTGGCTCCAGGCTCCAACACTTACATGACAAATAAGCTAAGCCCTAAGCAAAGGCAGTGTTTGGCTAACCAGAGGTGGGTTCGGTCTAAATCTGAACCAGTTCCCGATCAACTGGACACTTAGGGAGATCTGA